TTTCATCACAAAGTATCGGTTAAAAATAATCGTATTTTTCTCATGGTTTCTTGCCTTAAGTATAACAATTATAATGCTCTTCTTCGATAAATTATGGAATGTGGTTTTAGGTGCTCTTGTACTTATTGTTTTGACCGTTTTTATTGTGGTGTTCACATGGGTATGGACATATAAACTGGTAACTCGGCATCGACGCGCTATTAAATGCACACAGACACCATCGACTAGCGAAATTGTTGCAGAAAAGAAGATTCTACGATCGACAGTCACTGCTATTGCTATTATTTTAAGCCTTCTTGTATGCTACATTCCTAGTCTGTTTTTTTTGTTTCACTACGTCTTAAATGATGACTGGGGATTTGATAAAAAACATTATTATAGTATATGGACTTTTACGATGTCTATGACATATGCAAACTCTTTGGTAAATCCTTGCTTAGTGTTTTGGCGTAATAGTAATTTTAGAGAAACAGTTAGGGGTATTTGCCGAAGAAATTAGTTGAGTTTATTTTATATTTTTTTCAAATTGTTGGCTGGAAATCGATATTGCAGCAATTAAATTGTAGTACATTTTTGCGTCACTTTATTTTTGGACATTTTAAAAATATTATGGTACACAGGTACAGTCAAGGTTTGTGACTGACTAACTGACCATCCAAAGGACCAACCAACCAATCAACCAGCTGACTGACCAACCAACCGACTAAGGCCCTGTTTATATGAGCCCTACATGAAGGGAGGGCCAGCCCTCCTAGTCGAGATCCCGCATGTTATTATAGATCCCTATTAAAAATTTTTTGTTTATATGAGAGCTCCTAGGTGAGATCTCGCCATTGTTTACCCGAGGTCTTGCCCAATGGTGGATTTTCATTTTTTTGAAAGGAGGGGTAGAAAAATTTCAAGTGGGGCGCAAGCGGCAACACTGAGCAAGCTTCAGCAGGGGTTAGGCGTTAGGGTTAAAGACTTTCACACACAATAGGAAGGGTGAAGCAAAATTTTGGTGGGGTTTATAAGAGGGGTTAGAGAGATTCTAGGGGGGAGTTTAACCCCCCTACCCCCCGCCCCAGTAAATCCGTCCATGGTTTCGCCCAGTAGGGCTGGACATTTCCCATATAAACGCAACAGGGAGAGCAAAATTTGGCAACTACAGTACACATGCGCAAAGAGTCCATTTCAGTAAAAATTTGCAGGCCAGCCATTCATGCAGGGTAGAATTTCTCCATGTAAACGAAGGTGAAAATCAGCCTTACAGGTAGGGTCAGTCCTCCCTGTAGGTCTCATGTAAACACCACCTAAGGCTAAGTTTTCAATATTTACAATGACAGATGTGCCTAGTATCAACAATCAACTTGTGGTAAGCAGTCCCAATGATCTATACAACCGAAATGTCTTTGTCCCACAAATATTGTTTTCTAATTTTCTGCATGTTTGGTACAATAAAATTGTGAAGTGATTGTTTTGCTAGTCACAACAAAGCCAAGAAAATGTTTTGTGTTCCTTCTTTCTCTTGCTTAAATTATGCTTTATGAATAGTTGATACTAATCAAATAATATACCTTTAAATTAATTTAAATGAAAACTGTGCATTTTATTTGATCAGTCCTCAATGTCCGTGCAGAATAAAATTGGCCATTTAGTGTTTTTCTTTGGCAAATAGGCAAACGCCAACCATTAGAAAAATGTTTTCTGATCTACCTACCCTGATAAAACATAGCTATGAAACCTGAAGCCAACTTTTGGCTTGACAAACAGGTAAACTGAACAACCCAACAGCCTGAATGATTGGCTGACTCAACAACCAACTGGCTAACCAACTGAACCACCCACAACCAGCCGACCAACTCCTAACCTAAATCCTTACCTTGGTTGCCAAATGCAATGCAGTACCAGCATCATTATCAATGTAATTCAACATGACACGAAGAATATCGTACGGATTATCCTCGTAATCTTCATCCCATTTTTTGATCCGGAAATCTTCTCCATCAGTTTCCTCTTCATCATCCTCAAAGAATCCATTTTCAAACCTGCCTAAAGTAGAATGCTTGAAATGTAAACATACCTTACTCAGGTCAGAATCTTCTTAGATTCTTGTCAGGATCATAAATGATCTGTCAGGTTCCTTGAGTATCCATCCCCAATATGCCCACATTTTTGGTATGTGTAATATTTGGGTCATTCGAAGAAGAAATGTAATATCTTTATAATAAAAAATCCCATCTTGATCAACTTTTTCACTGTCAAAGTTTCTAGATATGATGTCATTAGGTGAATTGCAAATTACTGAAATTAGTTTTCCTTTGTTTTTTGTACCAAAAATTCACCTAATGACATCATATCTGGAAACTTTGACAGTGTTTTTTTACTATAAAGATACAATACATTTCTTCTTAGAATGACCCAATTCACCCAAATAACTTTCTTTACATTTTGAACTGCTATATTTGTCAAAATATGATATATTAACTGAATATCTAACACTTTTCTGGTCCGCTATGCTTGTAAATGAATATAAACTGTATGTTTCAATTCAAAAAAGTTCGAAAGATGCAAAATTTGGGCACAGGGCTTTCAAAATAACCTGGCGGCCACCGGAGCTCCAGCAGGTGCTACGAGGTTTACCACCGATTACTTTGTTTAGTACTTGAATTATCAATTCTGCTCTCCTTCCTCCACTCTAAGCTTTCAAACAAAGTTATTTTTCCTCAACTTGGTCTATAATTTATAGCCTGGTTATTTTCGAAAACGACGTACTATTTCGTTAAACTGATTTTATTAGTTATTTGCCATCTTAAATCTTGAAGTTACCTTGTTGAAGAATGAAAGCAAGGGACTGGTCATAAAGTATAGGTGGGGTGAGCTATGGAAATTGAGGGATCAATCAATTTTCCAAGTCTTCAAATTTTAGACCGCCCCCCTTCCAACAGCTGCCTACTTTATCAAAACAGATGCCTACTCTGAGGGCCATTCCATTTAATATACACCCCCCCCTATGGACGAGAATTTCCGAGGGGGGTTGAAAAAGCCGTTTCTGAGGGGTTGTGTGCGTCGGCATCCTTTGATCTTTGCGTTTTTTTCTGAGGGGTAAGGCAAAAATTTCTTAATTTCTGGGGGGGTGTTTGTGTCGGCACTTTGATCTTTTTTTCTTAGGGGTTCAAATTTTATTGACCTCATCCATAGGGGGGTGTGTACATTAAATGGAATGGCCCTCAGAATAATTCTGAAAGCCCTGTGGGCAATGTTTATATCTGGGGGTCCCCCTTTGTTATGAGCAGAACTGATGCACAGAACGGAGTGGAAATCATCTTTAACTTCATGACTAATTGGGGGGGGGGGGGGG